AAAATTTGACTTACGGAATTATATATATAGACACATTTATATCTGCAATCAGATTGTTTATCTTTATTTTGAAATGTTTGTTTCTATAAAGAATCTCTTGGGAGCATAACCTGTACCTCTTAACCTCTGCTCTTTGAACTGTCAAATTTAAGTATTTACAGCTGACTGAAATTAATTGATATTTTTACATTCTTTCTAAATGTAAACATGGAAAATTTGGAAGCCCATGGGGCGTAGCCCAAGGGAAATATGAAAATTAAATTATATAATATTGCATTGTCATCCATTTGTGAGCTATGTTTCAAATTTCAAGTCTCTAGCTCATCGGGAAGTATCAAAATTTGCAGGAAAGCGAGTTAATAAAAACAAGCCCATGGGGCGTAGCCAAAGGGAAATATGATAATAAACTGATATAATATTGCATTGTCTTCCATTTGTGAGCTATGTTTCAAGTTTCAAGTCTCTAGCTCATCGGGAAGTTAGTATAAAATTGATTGAAAAATTTGTACCGGACAAGAAAGCGAGCTAAAAAAACGTTTTAAAAACTGACCAAATCTTCGAATAAAACTTTCACATACATGATTTACCTTCATCTCCCTTAATTATATATCTTTTTCTTTATTTTTGACATTTTAAATTTCAATTTTGAAGTTGCAAAAATACGAATTATTAAATTTACATGAACATTTTTTTTAATTTCACTATATTGAAACCTATTTGGACCTACGGTATCCAACTCTGGGGAACCACTTCAAACTCGAACATAGAAATAGTTCAACGATTTCAATCCAAAACACTAAGAAAAATTTTACAAGCACCTTGGTTTGTCACAAATAAAGTTATTCATCAAGATACAAAATTACCCTATGTTAGAGAATAAATAAAAAAACGAAGTGAAAAATATCAAAGAAATCCATCCAAATTTCCTGGCAGTTAACCTCCTCGACAATAGTGAAGCTACATATAGGCTCAAAAGAGTTAATCCAATAGACCTTCCAAATCGTTTTTAGTTAAACTTTTTAAAAGTTTTTGTATGTTAGTGCACTTGATGGAGTGTATCTAACCCATGTTAAAATGGTCATAAAATTTACTTATTGTTCTAGTATAGAATAGATTGTAAATAAATACTTGTTAAAAAAAAAACTCTTCTTCATATTAAATCATAAATCCTTCCGTCTTCAGTTTCTTCACTCACAATAAATCATCAGCAAAACTAAGTCAGCTGTTATAAACTGTAGAAATATTGTTGTGCCTTATCAATAATTTTTTGAAATATAAAAGAAACTATATCTATACTATACAAAATTTCAAACGAATAATTTAGCATTAAAGATAGCAGACAAAACTAATATTATTATCAAAGCATCAAGAACTAAAAAATGTAATATCAAATACAGAATATGTTTCATTGCATCTCTGATTCTACTCTACAAAAATATGAACAAACAACTTAATATAAAAACCAGTTCTTTTAAATCAGTTTCATCGTCCATTGCCTTTACATTTTCACACTTACCATTAATTAAACATAGTAACATATATTGCATTGATTTTAAAAACAAAAGAACACTGTGTGCTGCTTAGTTTTATGATATTTTTCTTGTTTTAGCGAATTTCCCATATAGGGAATAAGCTATTACCGTAGTACTCATGGTAAGACCTGGACCCGGGACCGATTTACTTTTTTGTTTTGAGGTCCCTAGAGGCCAAAAACACCATCCGTTCTATTTATATTTATTTATATATATATAAATATATATATATATATATGTGTGTGTGTCCGTTAGCACGATAACTCGAGCAAAAATGATCCGATTTTGATGAAATTTGGTATAAACGTGTAAACCTACATTTATTCAAACGAGTTCGCGAACCAGCATGATCGGACTACGGGAACGGGGGTTTATGGGGGGTTTTATGGGGTAAAAATAGGTTTTTCTCATTTTTGACCCTAAAAACACAAAATTTCACAATTTCTTTCCATACCATTTTGTAGAACTTAAAAAAACAAATAATTTAGTATATTGAAGCGTTATTGTGCACCTAATGGTTACGGAGAAAATTCCAAAAAATAGTAAATTTAAAATTCCCATGTTATTCTTATGGAGAATAAGTCAACTGTTGTAGTTTGCTTTTTTATGAACATATTTTGATATAATTTGTAAAATACATTAATTTCTTACTAAACTATTAACATTTTACAACAAAACACCTTTTTACCCTCCCTGTTGCAGCAAACCTAAGTACCTACTCGTTAAACTAATTCTATATAAATAGGGAATAAATGTAATATTTTTCAGGAGGCATTTTAGTGTAAATCCAATCAGGCAAATGGAAATTCGATTAGTCTGCAGGTTTGCTGCGGCGGGGGTATTAATTTAATCAGTCGTGTGGCAAACACAAATAATAAATTTATCAAATAAAGTAAATGTAAACTGAAAGCTATGTTAAGATAAAATAAGAGTATTTTGTATTACCATTCGATAATTAAATATAGTTACACATATACAACATATTTTAGAACACAAAAATCAAAGAAGTACAATTTAGTTATTGATGATATTCTTTAGTTTAATTTAAGCATAGGTTTAGCAAAACACAATACCTAAATATACATATAAAAAAACAATGTGATGTGCAAGTTATGTTAAGTTAATCTAACACATGTTAAGCAGTTCGAATTTAAAGTAGCCTCTGAATTCATACAAAAGATATATATATACATTGTAATTTTCTTCCGGTTTGATGAAAATATATCGACAACATTATTTTCATAACACTTAAGACACTTTAAAAATCGAAAGCAGAGCCTGAGTTGATACAGCAACGCTTTTAGAATATTTTTTTAATTCTATAATACTGACATAGTTTTTGAATATGATCTTTGATAAATTTTTAGATTACATAAACCTACCACATAATTGTGTGAAATATTTATATTTAATTTCTAATTGGATCAGCTGTGTTAAATTGTGAAATATGCAATTTGGCAGTTCTTCTTGTTTACATTGAAATGTTAAAGCAAAATATTTAAACATTGTGAGTATTCTCATTGCAGCCATGGAGACCAATCAATATTTAATTTTAAAATTCTCACCTCAGAACTTTTAAAGTGAAAGTTTCGAAGAGTGAATAGTCCTATATAGTCTAGGCATATTAGGAAAGTTAGCGGAAAGTTTAGGTACAGGCCTAATAATCACTTTTCTTTATGTTTTTTGGGTCGCTGAACACGAATATGAGGTTTGCTGACAGATATTTTGCCCGGAACATTGGTTATTTTGTGAAAAACCTTAAAATTTGGGCACTTTTTTTGGTTTTTCGGGCAAATCTCGGTAAGTATGGGTTTTTGAGAAAATCCTGCCTTGTAAAATTAAAGATGACAAAATTTACTACAAGTTTCCTGTATAATGTTTGTTTCTACGACGAACCGTTTCGCCACTAGAGCACAGTAAAAAAGGCCAGAAGTACAACAAATTAAAAACATTGCTAAATGCTGCCGTTTTACATTACGTTTCAATGGAAACAACCCATGTTACGATAATTTTAACTATTTATTTATTCATGATAACAAACTGAAACACACTTAAAAATACCCCCGCCGCAGCAAACCTGCAGACTAAGCGAATTTCCATTTCCCTGATTGGATTTACACTAAAATGTCTCCTTAGAAATATCACATTTATTCCCTATCAAAATAAAAGTTTAACGAGTACATAGGTTTGCTGCAACAGGGAGGGTAAAAAGGTGTTTTTTGTAAAATGTAATAATTTAGTATGAAATGAATGTATTTTCCAAATTTGATCAAAATGTGTTCATAAACAAGCAAACTACAACAGTTTACTTAGTCTCCATAAGAATAACATGGGCATTTCAAATTTACAGATTTTTGGAATTTTCTCCGTAACCATTAGGCGCATAACAACTCTTTAATATACTAAACTATTTGTTTTTTAAGCTCTACAAAATGGTATGGAAAAAAATCGCTAAATTTTAATTTTATATGGTCAAAAATAGGAAAAACCTATTTTTACCCCATAAAACCCCCATAAATCCCTGTTCCCATAGTCCGATCATGCTGGGCAAAACCAAAAATGAAAATAAACCCTAACCGTTTTACAAAGGTTTTACATTGGGTTTCCATGGAAACAACCCATGTTACGATAATTTGAACTATTTATTCATGATAATGAACTGAAACACACTTGATAAATCTATGCCAAGATGTATGACTGACAGCTGGAACATTTCCCGTTCCCACAAAACCCCCATTTATTTTCTCAGTACAGGGATGTTGCTGGCCACAGGGTTGACTGCTATAGTGGTTGAGAAAAAAGGATGAAATACAGTAAAAGAGTTGTAGATAACTTTTAACTTTGGTAACGTCAAATTCAGACGGGCAGACCGTGTCCAGCCACTTGCCATAGTAAATAACGCGATGAAAGTAGAGAATTCTTACCCGTAAACCCCAACACATTGTTTCAACGTATCAGCCAGCATCGCTAAGAATTCTGATGAAGAACTAAAACACTTCTTGTCCTTCTTACGGAGAAAATTCAAAAAATCTGTAAATTTAAAATGCTAATGTTATTCTTATGGAGGCTAAGTAAACTGTTGTAGTTTGCTTGTTTATGAACATGTTTTGATCAAATTTAAAAAAATCATTCATTTCAAACTAAATTATTACATTTGACAAAAAACACCTTTTTTACCCTCCCTGTTGCAGCAAACCTAAGTACTCGTTAAACTTTTATTTAAATAGGGAATATAACCCGAAGGCAAGTGAGCGTAGCGAACGAGCTAACCTGAAGGAAAGTGAGCGCAGCGAACGAGCTCCAACCTAAAGGTGAGTGAGCGTAGCGAACGAACTTCAAAAAGAACCGAAATTTCTTAAACCATGTCCTCACTCATAACTGCTATAAGCATTTTTCTTAGGGTCACACCAGCAGCCTTTTGAATTCTAGGCGAGCAATTTATCCACTCATCTACATAAGACAACTCACCAAGGATATACTGCGCTGTGGTGCTTGAGTTTCTTCCTTTTCATCCTCGTAATAATCCGAGTAAAGCGCTCCTTGCTTGCCACCCCTGAAATACACGGGGAACTTGTAAAATAACTCACTTCTTCACACTTCACACTCCATATCTCCATTTTTGACCAGCAGTTGCTGGATGGATTGGCGCATACTAAAAACTAATAATTATTTAGAAATGTGCAGTTTTTCGTAACGCACAAACACAATTGATTTTTAAATTATTAAAAACTGATTGGCGGCAGGATAGTTGTTGAACGTCTTAGAGATAGCGGGAGGTAACCCTTAAAAGTGATCATCGGTGGAGTAGAAGGTCGTGTTTAATTAAGCTATTGTTTGTTCATTCTTTCCATGAACCTGCAGAGATACAGATCTTAAGTACTAGGAGGCAAAGCATTGAACATTTGCAATGGCTAATATTGGGAGGAAGTCCTTTATCTTACTTAGCCTTATGCATTGTATAATGCAGCCCAGACAGTGTACCACCATTAAAAATAATTTATTACAAACGTCGTTAAAACTTGCTCTTTGCCTAGCTCTTAAATTCATATAGATATTGAATTAAATTTAAATATTTATATTATTTTCAGCTTAGGATTGAGACGTGTGGTAGCCTAGGTCTACCTGGTACGGCGAGGGTTGGTGTCGCCTTGTGAGGCTGAGCCCATCCTGGTCATCTCCCTGTGTTCATCTCACTCTCACTAGCCTGCAACAAACAACAAAAGTAGTTACTTATATTTAGTGAATTTTCCTATAGGGAAGAAACTATTACCGAAGGTGGCACGGTAAGACGTAGACCCGGGACCGATCTACCACCCGTGCTAACGGGAAGAGAACGCTTAAGAGAATAATTATTATTCCATAGATGTGCTGGATGTAGATAAACTTTTAGTAATCCACTAAAAGTATAAACTTAAAATATTAACTGGCTACTTTCGTTTCTCAGACATTCTTTTTTGGGACATAAACCATATAAATACAATAGGTTTTATAAACACTAGCTCTTACCGTTTTCCTCTCCTCTACCCGTTTTATAAGTATTAATTGACTAATTAATCAAGCTGAAATAAACAAAACAGAATTCAGCTATACAAACAAATAATCATATCTGATTTTAATAAGGTATTAATTGAAGAATAACAAACAAATAAGTACAGCTGAGGTATTTTTAACATTAGGTATATGGAAAGCACAAGATTACCGTCATGACGAACATTTTAAGTATATGGTTTATGGGGGTGTGACTTGTAGTTTTATAAAAAGTTCATGGGTACTTTGGAATTTATATATGGATTTTGAGAAAAATCAAGTCAACAAGTTAATGAATTACGCACTTAAAAAATAAAACTTTTATTCACACACTATCAAAAGTTATTTTCCTACAGTCACCCGACAAAGTTGGCTTCCTTGTACTGTTTATAGGAGCATAAATGTTTATTATGTTAATAAAAGTAATTGTCTAAAGTAAATGTATGTTTTTATTGTTAATTGGTCTAGTCCTAGCATTGCAGATTCTGGTTATTTTAAGTAATGTTTGTTATAGATTTTTTTAATATTTTAAGATTGTTTAATAGATTGTTGGTATGGATTGTTTTACATTGTTTTCATAGATTTTTTATATATTGTTTTATAGTTAGTTTTTATGAATAGTTTATTAGTATTAAGGACAAGAGTTGTTTTGAAAAGCAGAAATATTGTATCTGAAAAACGCTTGCTAAATAAAGACATTATTATTATTATAGTACAGAAAGCTGCTAATTGCTGCATATTTATACTTTGCCGTACGGTTTATACTTTGTCATACGGTTTATACTTTGCCGCACATCAGGATTCCAACGAAACAACACAAAACAGCGTGGTTCTATTATGCACGTAATCCGTGTACGCTTGGAAATAGGTTGGCAACACTTAAAGATAATTATACTATGAGCAGCTGATTGACTATTATAACTACGATTTAACCTGTCATTTCGTGTTTATAGTTTCGGTATTTCTGAACTTTCTGGACTTTTCTTTTAAACGTTTTTAAAACATTCCTACGATCTTAATAATCAAGGAAATACCTTTAAAGCATTTTTTTTGGCGCGGAAACCACTTCAAATTACAAAAACATACGGAACTAGATTTTCAAAACACGGAGCACATTTCTTGCCGAGGAAAAATAGCAGAGTGATACCATAGATTTCATCTATGGTGATACGAACCGCGGGTACTACTTTCTCTAGGGCACCATTTGTGTTGCCAGCTGAACCTAAAAACATGTTGTATAGTGTTTGAAAGACTAATTATTTATATGCTTTATAGTGACTGTAGGAAAAATATAATGTGTAACACGAGTGAAAAAGGCCTTTGCTGCACTCGAGATCATTCCGCACTCGCCTGCGGCTCGTGCGTAAACATTGCTCTCGTGTGCAGCAAAGTGCCACTTTCACCACTAGTTACACAAATAACTATTGTGTAACTAGTGAGACGTTGCTCTCGAGTGCAGCAAAGGCCTTTTGCACTCGTGTTACACATTATATTTTTCCTACAGCCACTATAAAGCATGTAAATAATTAGTCTTTCAAACACTCTACAACCCGTTTTTAGGTTCAGCTGGCAACACAAATAGGTGCCCTAGAGAAAGTAGTCCCCGGTCCGTATCACTCCGCTATTTTTTCCTCAGCAAGCAATGTGCTCCGCGACTTGAGAAAATAGTTCCGTATGTTTTTGTAATTTGAAGTGGTTTCCGCGCCTAAAAAAATGCTTTAAAGGTATTTTCTTGTTTATTAAGATCGTAGGAATGTTTAAAAAACGTTTAAAATAAAAGTCCAGAAAGTTCAGAAATACCAAAACTATAAACACGAAATGACAGGTTAAATCGTAGTTATAATAGTCAATCAGCTGCTCATAGTATTATTATCTTTAAGTGTTGCCAACCTATTTCCAAGCGTACACGGATTACGTGCATAATAGAACTACGCTGTTTTGTGTTGTTTCGTTGGAATCTTAATGTGCGCCAAAGTATAAACCGTACGACAAAGTATAAACCGTACGTCAATTATTTATTAAAATAAAAACATAAACATAACTGTAAACAATCGTACTTTGACAGTTCTAAGTACAGCTGCTTGGTTGAAATTAAAGCAACTGTTGTCATAAATTTAGACAATTAATAGTGCTGCACCCTGTTGGTACATATTGTAACCTTTTAATGCTTTTCATCATCACATAATCAAATTGTTTAGTTGACACAGCTGTTAAGATTCTTTAAATCCATTTAAATATGAGTACTCATAAGCTTAACATGGGAAACTCCAGAGCCACTGGGGCGGAGCCCTTTTGACGGATCTGCACCAAACTTCACACAAACCATCCTTGAATAATTCTTAATTATGGCTGAAAATTGCATTGCAATCTGATGAGTTGTTTCAGAGTCCATAGGGTACATGCATACATACTTCCTCTTTTATATATATATGTATATATATGTGTGTGTGTCCAAGAACACGATAGCTTTAGTAATTTTGGTTCGACTTTTATGAAATTTGGAATGAATGTGAAGGGAGAGATAACTTAAATGGGTGCACGAACCAGCAAGATCGGGTAATGGATCGGGTATTAGGGGGTCTGAAATGTTTCAAAAATAGTTTTTTTTTCAAATGTTTATCCTAAAAATGTAGAAATGCTTGGTTTTTGTTAGAGTCATCTTGTAGAAGGAAAATACCCCTGCCGCAGCAAACCTGCAGACTATATATAAAGGTTGTGGCAAAACCCGATCTATTTTTTGTAGTGCACTGTTCACCGACAGGTCGTCAGGGTGGTGGAAGTAGGCTTGTTGGAAAGCCTCCACAAAATGCCATTTTGTGTAGTCATAAAGCAGTGGTTGCCTGAACTACGTGCGGTTGCCTTCGAGGCTTCGAGTCATTAATTTTTAAAAAGTAATGATTCAGTCATTACAACTCAGCGGCAGTTTCATGCATTCTTTCAATTAAGGCGACGTGGAGATGTTTCGTTGCGAAGCACAATCATGTGGTATGTTAATAACTTAAGTACGCAGTACGCTTACTAATTTCAAAAGGAAGCTGGCAGGCCGTCCAAAGTCAGATCGGACGCCAAACAACCAACATTCGATAGAGTTCGTTCTGCTGTGGAAAACAGTCCTCGTATGCCCACCCGAAAACAAGCGGCTGCATTGAACATTTCTGACCGCTCAGTTACACCAATTTTGAGGTTAAATTTCTTCTGTTTAATTTTGTTAACCATCCATACAGATAATCACGACAGAACCTCTCCATGTCGACATGAGCGGTGCTATACCGTACACATAAGGGAGATTCGTAGTTACATTGCAAATTAAGAAGTAAAAGTAATGTAAACCCAAGCAATATATAATTTAATTATTTGGCTACTGATTGTATATGAACATTTTGGAACTATTCCATTTTTTACATGTAAAAATTGGTAATTAAAAAAAAAGTTGCCTTGTACGAAATAGCCGCGGGGGGTGGGGCTATTCCGTACAGTAGAAGGGGCTATACCGTACAGATCAAAAATCATTTGTTTCGGTCAGTAATATAATAGTACTGTACTGCAACAAATTATTGTACAAACACTTTTTATTGCTATATAAAGGTTGTAGTTAAGAAACAGTGTATTGCAATTTATACATTTTAGAAGAAATTACATTTCAACAATCAACCTTCATGAAAAACATGAAATTTATGAAAAAAGTTATAAAATTTCATCCTAAAATTAAAAGAAATAAGAAAAAGTCCACAAATGCAGTTCTTTGCAGATTCCCGCAGCACTGCAAACTGAATGGACCCACCCTGAACATGAGCAGCACCCTGTACCAGAGGTGTACGGTTTAGCCCCAATCTGTACCTCATGGGAATTTATAAACATAAAGTCAAATTCTATCACTTAACCAATCATCGCTAATAACCAAAAGAAAGCTTAAGAGATGTAAATTATTATGATCTCACAGTTAATAGACTACGATAAAAGCTACTTCACTAACTTTTTATTTAGTATACCGGTCGAAAATTAGAAGCAAGTGAGTAGAAACATGTTTTTTTACTGAAACATTAAAACTAGCACACTTAGCAAAACGATGCAGATACTGTAAACTTGCGCATTCTGCTGCTAGATAGCAGCACTTGTCGGGATCACCTAGCTTGAATTCTAGGCCAAAAAATGGGTGTACGGTTTAGCCCCGCTCTCCCCTAATGAATGCATAGATTGTAATGAATGCACAGAACTGCCGCTGAGTTGTAATAACTGAATCATTACTTTTTAAAAACCACTCGATGACAACTGCACGTAGTCAAGGTGACCACTACCACAGACAATGTAATAAACCATTAAAGTATTATATTGTCTGTGCCACTACTGTATGACTATGACTACCAAAAATGGCCATGTGTAGGCATTCATTTCCAACGAGCCTACTTCTTTTACTCCTCCTAGGCCTACTCCCACCACCCCCATACGACCTTTCGCTGAACAGTGCGCTGCAAAAAATAGATAGTTTTTTGCCGCACCCTGTATAAGAGAATTTAAATTTGTTTGATTCGATTTTTACTTAGATATTACCATAAACAAGTAATATTTATTCCCTATTAACATTAGTGAGAACTTAGTTTTGTTGCTTCAAGGAATATCATGAAGTGTGTTTTTTTTTATATTTAAATGTTAATAGCTTCGTATGAAATAACTAAATTT